CAAGCAGTGAGCACAGGCATTTCCTGATAAAGCTGCTCCTCCTTACTTCCAGCCCTTGCTAAATGACAGGCTTCCTCTACCGGAAGCACCACTGAATTCTGTTCAGATACTCTAAATTTTGTAGAGAACCAGAATTAAAGCACCATAATCTATAATAAATCACTCTTAATGAGCTGCCAAGAAGGGCTGCACAGGAGAAAAAGGGAGGGCTACTTTCAATCTGAAGTCTGTTTCCTCCACAAATCCAAGCTGTGAAGCAGCCCTGCAGTGGCAGGAAACAGGCACAACAGCCAGAGGAGTGCTGTCAGGCTGGCAGCTTGATGCCACAATTTTCATTTTCTCTCTACCAAGGTTTATCACATGGTCAGAACAAACCACTGCAAATACCTTTAGATTGTCAGTCTCAGGGAAAGGCTAGCAGACCAACTCAAGACAGCAAGCTTGAGAATGTTCTAGTTCCCCAAAATCTGCTAGTATTTAGAAGGCCAACCATATCCTAGATTACATGCACAGAAGCATGATCAGCTGGTCAAAGGAGGAGATTCTGCCCCTCTGCTCTGCTCTCATGAGACCCCATCTGGAGTACTGGGACCAGTTTTGGGTCCCCCAACACAAGCAGGTCCAGAGATGGGTCGCAATCAGAGGGCTTAAGCACCATCCCTATGGGGACAGGCTGAGAGAGCTGGAGCTCTTCAGCCTGCAGAAGAGAAGGCCCTGGGGAAACCTTATAGTGGTCTTCTGGTACTTTAACGGGCCTATAGGAAAGCTGGGGAGGGACTTTTTATAAGGGCAGGCAGCCTTATATATACAGGACGAGGGGAAATTGCTTTAAACTGGCAGAGGGTAGACTTAGACTAGATATTAGAAAGAAATTCTTTACTGTGAGGGTGGTGAGACACCAGACCAGGCTGCCCAAAGAAGTTGTGAATGTACTCTTCCTGGAAGCACTTAAGGCCAGGCTGGATGGTGCTGTGGGCAACTGGTCTAGTGGAAGATGTCCCTACCTATAGCAGGGGGTTGGAAGTAGGTGATCTTAAAGTTCCCTTCACAACCCAAACCATTCTATGATTCTATGACTTTTGGGCGTTGCTGGCTTCTAGAAGATGAACTGAAAGCAAAGCTCAGACCTGCCACTATCTACTGGGCTATCTACTGAGCTGGACTATCTTCTCACAACTCAGGGAACACAGCTAGAAGTGCCCACTGAGCCAGATTTTCCTCCTGAAACCAAGAATCATTCATGTCTCTGCTAACACTCCCAGCACTCTTTCAGCAGTGGCAGCATAAAGCTTGCTGCCAATATCCAAAAGGGCACTGGCCATTTTCTCAGTGACACTGCTCAGCTTGGTGTCCCCATCTGACTACCTGCAGGTGATGGCACATATCCCACATGGAACTTTCCGAACCTCAACACTGCAGCTCAGCCAGGAGGAAATCTCTCTTGGCTGCCTGTCCCTAAATGCTTATTCCAATGCTGCACGTTTAACTCCTCCCCTGATCAGGAACCAAGTGCGTGACCCCAGTGCCCTGGGGCTTTTCTAGTGCTTTGTGCTGTGCTTAAAAACATACAGCATGAGAAGGAAAGACAGAAAAAGAGGGAGTAGCGCTTTCAAGATGACACAGTTCTAACTCACCAGGTCACAGCGCCCAGAATCTCGAGAGCCTTAGACAAGGATCTCAGCATGCAAGGTGCTGAACAAATGGAAAATAACACTCTCTGCCCTAGAAACTGGCAATCCATGCCCCAACATGCACACACACTGCAGAACCTTCCCCATCAGGCTCTGCTATCACTCCATGGCATTTCATAGCACATCCTGGAGCCTCCGTCTGGAGGAATGATCAGAAAAAACAGGCTGTGAAAAATGGGGTCAGAATGAACCGCTGCTTGGCTCAGTGCATTTTGACCACTCTCTACCAATCATTCCTGCCCCTAAAATATTGTGATGCCAACTCCCACAGTAAGTGCTGGAGGTCACATGCATTAAGTGCTCAGACTGTGGATCTGAAGTTGCTCTTAGCATCAGGTAACAGTGCCTCAGCTTCCCCTGTGGGAAGGAACTCAGCTGCCAGCACAGAGTGAGCTGTTCCCCTTTCTGAAGGAAGGGAGCATTCTTGGGAGCCCGAGGGAGGAAGCATGCAGCTATCTGCAGCAGACCACTTTCGGGTTCCAGCTTCACTTGTTGGCTTTCCCTTGGGAACAACATAGTCTGAAGCCCAGGGCATATTTTACAAAGTCCAGCCCGCCTGAGAATTTAAAGATGGCTGGAACTGTAGCACTGTACAGGGCAGGGAAGCCCATACAAGTTGCAAAATCATCCAAAACCCGACATAGACATTATGGTGGACTGCACACAGTGACATGGCTTTCAGTGGAATTTCTGAGGCTTTGTACCCTGGTTCAGAGCTGGAAGCTCAGGCAAGGACCACAATATCTGTGAACACAGGGCTGTCTGGGCAGCTGACGGACAGCCATCCTCCCCATCCAGCTGCACAAATCCTGGCCACAGCACATACAGCAGCACACACAACCTCATAACAACTCATATGTCTGACTAGCAACAGCTCAGAGCATCCTCTGGAGATGGGGCATGTCTCTTGCTGAATTGGGGACTGAGCACTGTAACACAGTGCCAGCCTGACCTTTGGGAGGTGTAACGAGAGAAGCTTACAGCTCGCACCATGATCCATGTCAGGATGGGCAAGCTATGCCTGCTGCCAGAGAGTCCCATCCCCCTGGCCCACACCCAAGGCTTCAGGCACATGACAGAGTACAGCTCACACAGCGAGTGGTGATGGTGTTTCCTGCTTCCTTCAGTACCACCAATCAGTGTCCGGCAAGGAGCCTGCCCAAAAGCAGCTTGAGAAGTGCTCAGTGCTCCCCTTACCTGCCCAGGGGCCTCACGCCGTATCACAGGGCTCATCAGAGAGCTTGTTCCCCACTGGAGTGCAGCTACCCCACAGCAAGGCAAACCGGCTGCGCAAGACGGACGGCGCACAGCAGGCCAGGCTCCCCGGAAGATGCAGGTACAGCTGGGCCCATCGATTAACTGAGGATGAGCAAAGGCAGCAGGATGACACTGCCCTCTGTGACTCAGTGGGAAGCTCAGGTGACTGGTTTCCTGCTGGCTGGGCCTGCTCTGCAACTCCAGGCTGGATCTGGAACAACCACTGAGGGGAGAAGGAGAGGACAAAGCACCCTGACCCTCTCCCAAGCCCCACTGATGGCAGCTGTAGGTGCTACGGAGGGCTGGGGGTGCCAAGGCCTGCATCAGGATGCACGGCCACAGCATGGGCTGCTGAAAGCACGGGTTGCCATGGCAATCCCCCCAGCACAGCCTGCTGCCTCCTTCCTTTGTCTCTGCTCCCCTAGGCCTTGCTGTGCACTTCCACCATCCCACACAAGACCTCAGTATGGCATTTGACAAACCTCCAGAAGCTACACGTCTCTCCGGGGAAGGAAAGGGGGGCAGAGGTGGAAGGCCACCCCCATAAGCAATTGTCCCACAACCCATGGGATGCCCACACTGGACCAGGCATGTCACTCCAGCTGGGTGACGTGTCACTGCACTGCAGGCTCCCTCTCTGTGGGGACATGGAGCCCTTGTCCCTGACACAGAATGGCTAACCACACCTCAAAAAGCCCCACAGCTCTGCCTACCTTGTGGCAGCACAAGGCTGTATGGAAAGAAAGGACCCAGGCTCTTTTTGCAGAAGCCTAGCAGACATGTTGAAGATGGCAAGTCTCTGCTTTCCAGTCCTACCACATTTCCACTGGAGGCGGCAGTTCTGTGCTGCCACACTTAACCTTGCTGTGGCTTAAACTGGAGACAAGATCCTGATTTGCTTTCTGTCCCAAAAAACTGTTGTCTGCTGTTGCTATGTGGTATTACATGGTTACTCAGCCTGGCACGTGAGCACAGCTCCTTGCTCCTTCTCCTCTGACATGGGTGGGAGATACAAGAAAAGACAAAGGACTCTTCTGAGCTACGTGCAGGTGTGATACCTGCCAATATCTATAGGTGAATTAATTTAATTACTTAACAGAATGGATAAAACAACACCTCCAAAAGCTCTGCTTTTTTCCTCTCTGCTGCTCCTTCTCTGCTCATCCCCAGGATGAACAGGGCCCACCATGGCTGATTACATCACTTGAGGGTTAGGGCAGAAGCCTTGGTTCTTATCCAGGATGAGTCATGGAGCTCAGAACATGCAACTTCCTTCTGAAACCATCAGATGTGTCTCACACAGGCTAAAAATAAAGATGGGTCAGAACTGCAGATGCATCCTTGCACAGCATTCAGGTGACAACAAATTGTCTGAGCAATAGAAACCACAAAGTCCAGAGATGCTCTGAATTCTTGTGCATATACACAATGGAGGGACCAGGAGGCCCCACCTTATGCCAAGCTGGGCTGAAGGAAGTCGGCAGCAGATGCCGTGCAACCAGCTGGCCACATAGAGAAGGACAGACCCTGCTCTCATTGGCTTGGGTGAATACCCACACCCAAAGGTACTAAAGAAGATTTCAATTGATGCTGGATGCATCTACCCAAGGCAGTAGAAAAAGACTACCACAAACAAGAGGGAAGCTAAATTTTTGGCAGGTGAATTCTGGAAAGCTGGTAGATGGCAGTGAGACAATGCAAAGGTCCTAAGGGTGCTTGGTACGAGGACCAAAATATACACAGGCCACAGCTATATCTGATGTGGAAAGAATTTGACTAAGACACTTTAGGTAAGTGACGAATTTAAAGTTCTTCTGAATCCCCAAGACATTATACATCTGCAAAACCTTTACAATCTAGAACGCAGGACTTTCACATAGCAGGACTATACACAAACAGGGACTGAGAGGGACATCTGCAATGTTCGGAGGCCTAAAGTTAGCCCCAGCAGATGATCCTTTGCTCCATTCTCAAGAGCAGTGAGAACTGAACAAGGATCCAGCTGCCCCAATGCTCCCAAGAACAGAATCTCTGAATACCCAATCTACTTACAGTAGAGATGGTAGGGCAGAGGGGATTCCTTGCTTCCTTGCATAACTCCAGTGCAAATACTGGTGGGTCCCATCCCTGAAGGGTGAAGAGCATTTCCTTCAGATTTCCAGTTGGAAGAGGACCATGGGTCAATGAGAGCCTAAATGTCTAAGAGCAGGCTGAGGAGCAATGCTAGGCCAGCCACCTTCTGCTGAACATATAACTTCTAGTTTACTAGCTCTTTGAGTTTTCCAGCAGGGCATCATATCCCATTCCTCATGGAAACACTGCAAATCTACTCAAAGGTTACTGCCAGCTGCACTGAACTGAATTAGCTTCAGAGGAGGTTCAGGTTGGATATTAGGAGATGTATATTCTCTGAAAGAACAATAAGACACTGACATAGGCTGCCAAGGAAAGTGGTGGAGTCACCATTCCGGAGGTTTCCAAGAAACGTGGGTACATGGTACTGAGGGATATGGGTTAACGGGCACGGTGAGGACGGACTCGAAGTTGGACTAGATGACATTGGTCTTTTCCAGACTGAATGGTCCTATGACTCTAACAAGATTAAACCAGCCCAGATATAAGCTCCAGGATATTATTTGGTTTAGGTGATAGCCAAACCAGAAAAAAAGAGGTTCATGCTATGACCAGGTAGCGAGAGAAGCTGTTGCCTTACATACATACAAATAGGAAGTTTGTCATTTGGGGAGGCATAAAGCTCTCTCTCTAGTTATCAGGGAAGGGAAAGAAGTAGATCCAATATAGAAATCTCCATGTTAAAACATCTCTGGTCACAAAGCAGGCAAGCACTGAGAGAATTTTGTGCCTGGATCTGCAGGAAGCTCCAGCAAAACACACATATTCATTGGTTGTAGCCATATAATATATCTCCATCACTAGAAAAAGTGTAGGATCACAGCAAGGAGCAAGCATTAGTGACCACCATAACTCAGCTAGATAAAAGGGCTGCTCTGCTGCTACCAGTCTGTGTGACAGGTAATTTGCAATGCTCATGCAGAACTGACATGAATGAAGGACTCATTCCTCCCCTGCTGTTAATGTTTCGAGTGAACCTACTCCTGCCTTAGTGCCTGTGAGTCCTACTTCAGCACCTGGCTGAAGGGAATGGGAAAGAAAATATGGCCTGAGGCCCAGTCTCCACTTGCCCTGGCCTGGCCCCAACTTCCCTTGGCAGGCACTTAGAGGAAGAGCTGAACAGCCTGGGCAGTCACATGTGCTAAGCAGTGGCTTCCCTATGAAATCTCTTTTGGCCAAATTGCACCTGAGCTCTGGGCAGAGAGGCTCTGTACTGCAGTTCTCCCAAGGCATGATTTTTTCAGGTGACGGACAGCAAGCAGCAGAGACTAGCAGCTGGGAAATCTTCCTGCTCAATGCTGCTGGCAGAGAGAAGTACAAGTTCAGTGAGTAGCACAGACAGCAAGTTCCCAGGGGCTTAAAATACACTGCCCTTGAGCTTGCAATGTTGTGCAGGGCTCAACAGTCTTAGCAGCACAGGTGACAAAGCACCCAGGCTTTACCAGTCTAGTGACACCTGTTGCATAGAGGGATGGAGGAAAGGCAGGAGAAAGGCACTGTGGTCCTAGGTCTCCTCAAACAGTCCTGGAGGAGGAAAAAAAACAATACGAATTGAACAGGTGCTAACCTGAGCGTAGGGTTGAAGCAGAGCAGAACAGCAGCTCTCAGCACCTGCAGCGTGGTTTTGGGGATGTTTGTTCTGGCTGTGTTGGGTCACCTGGAGAGACAAAGGCAAGGTGCAGAGATACGTGTTAGACTCAGCAGAGAAACAATTTGCCTGTACAAGACAACTTTACCAACACTGTCTGGTAAGCAGCCACTCACATTTCAAGCCAAGAAGTTTGACAGCACGTGCACAGAGCTGAGAAACCCTGAGCAACCCAGTACTGTGATGATTCTGTATGCTCTTTCACCCTTTCTAAGGTTACCCCTACAACCAGGCCCCTGCCATTGTCACCCCAATCGCCCATGTGAGTCCAGGTTGGTTCCCTCAGAGAGCCAGAGCTGGATTCCAGAGGCCACTGCTGCTGTCATTCCTCTTATCCCAAGTGCAGTGGGAAGCCCTGGCTTTACTCCTCTCCACCTCCACAGTTGTACTTTGCTCCACCTCTGTGTGTGTGCTGGCATTTTGTTAGCTGTTAGCTTTGTCAGGCTCTCTGTACTCTGCCCACCAGACCTCGTAGCAGAGCTGAGACAGAAAAGGACCAAACGCTGCTGCTGGGGAAGTTGGGGCTCTTGGCAACTCAAACTCACGCAATCAAATGCTGCAGCGTTTCCCAGGCTACAGCAAAGGGGGAAAGCAGCAACCACTTAACAGAAGCCTTCATGAGGCCAGCCAGAACTGCCACAAAGGCGCTGTTTAAGGCTCCTCCCCATTCAAGTATAGGCTACAGAGACAATGCTGTGCAAGAGTGAAAGCTAGGTCCTTGAAAACTAGGATGGGACCAGCCTACCCAAAATGAAATCTGGAGTTCCCTGAGCCACCAGGATGATCAGCAAAAGCTGGCAAAGGGCAGCCCTTCTCTTCAGCCCTGTACCTCCAACCTCAGAAACTGCTGCCAAGTGGCTGCACTGGCAGTGCCATGCCAGCATGGGGTGGTGGGGGTCAGCTCTCAGACACAGAGAGGCACCCCTACATTGGCTTCCTGGGGCACCAATCTGTAAAATGATCACAAAGGCACCCAGAAAAATTCTGCTTGATGGTACCCACGCCTACACCACTCGCAGGTCAATTTGCACCAGCACCCCAGGAGAGGTGCTGCCAGAACACTGCACTGCCCACTGAGAAGGTTTGGGAGGGACAAAGATTTTCAAGGAAACTTATGAGTCAAAGAAAACAGCAAACCACAAAGTTTGTGAAACCAGGTTCTCTGGGGCCTATAGTCACCTGACTTGCTTGCTCAAAACAGAGAAATGGAAAAACAAAGAAAAAGAGCTGGTTAGAAAAGGTGGCTCCGGGGAGCAGAGGGGCCAGATGCTGCAAACATGATGGATGGGAAACGTGCAGCTGCATTACAAGGACCCACACAATCCACCACTGGAAGGGCTGCTGGGTGCAATGCCAGGTGGACAGCAATCGGAATACCCCATAGAACACTTCCACTGCCAAATCACCCACAGTGACACGTTCTGTGAGCCATCTGTTAACATACAAATGGTTCCCTTTGGGATTTCACCCACATTGCCCTTCACACCTGTCCAGTTTCAGATTCAACTCATTAAGCCCTCCAGCCATGGAAGGCTCCAATAACTTAATCACAGTTACAATGACAGCCTTCACGAGAATGCTAAACCAATATGGCTTCACCTTTTCCTTTCTCATCTTTTGTCACACACATAAGTTGACACATCTTCTCATTCTGTACCCAGAGAGTACTCTGAGCCCCCAGACACTGTGGAAATCCACACAGCGTGACAATGCTACCAAACCTAGCACAAGGAGAGATCAAGCAGCCCAGAACAACAAAGGCAGGCAGAGGACTGGGGACGTGTTGGGAGACTTAGAATCACAGAATAGTTTGGGTTGGAAGGGGCCTCAAGACCAAGCCCCTGCTGTGGGCTGGTTGCCCCCATCAGACCAGGCTGCCCAGAGCCCCATCCAACCTGGTCCTGAATGTCTCCAGGGATAGGGTACCCACAGGTCCTCTGAGCAGCCTGTGTCAGTGTCAGTCTTGGGACAATGACTTTCAGGAGTCAGATCAGCAACCGTGTCCTCATACTGCCCATAGTCATTAAACCTGAAAAGAACAGGTCAGGTGTCCATGCCCTCTGCTAGAAGCACAGCAAGGCTGAGGCTGAAGGCCGGTACCAGACAGAGAGGAGGAGGACAGAAAAGCCTATGAGCTGCCCTCTCTTTCGAGGCCAGAGAACTCCCTCCCCTCTCCCCGTACCCAGGAATGGAGAAGACCTGGAAGTGCCAGGAGAATGCGGAATGGAAAGCTCAGCACGTACTGCAGGGAGCACACACGGCTTGGGCATCGAGATCAGCACTGATGAGGCTACCAGGGTGAAGCAGCAATCCCACGGCTAAGATTAAAGCCATCCTGAGGAAGAACAGAGCACAGGGAGCTCCCCGGCCCTGCCTGCTGACAAGGTGAGCTGTGCCTGAAAGCGCACCCAAGACCCGGCACGGGGAAAAGACAGCAGCTTCCCTTCCCGCAGGAAGCTTCTCCGTCGTACAAGCTCAGAGCGGGCAGGAAAGGGCCGCGAGCCTCGGCCGGGAGCCAGAGGACGCTGAAGCCGCGATGCCACCGCAGCGTGACCCCGAGCCCGGCTCCTGCCCGCCCCCCCCCGCCCCGCTCGGAGCCGCAGGACCGGCGCTGCGGTGCCGGGGAGCTGCGTGCCGTGCCGGGAGGCGCAGCCCCGCCGGGCCCTGCCCGGAGCAGGCAGACACCGGCGCTGTCAGACAGCGGGCAGCGAGGCTTCGGGGCGGCCGAGCCCCGCGGGTCCTAACGCCCTTCCGAAGGGCTCAGCCCCGAGCAGCCGGACAGACGCGGGGACATTTCCTCCCGTTCCACCTGCAGCGCTCGGTAACCTTGGTGCCTCACCGGGCTGCCGAGGCCCCCGTCCCCACGCGCCCTCCCGGGCACCAGAGGGCAGCAGGGCTCCCCGGCGGCCGCTCGCATCCGCCCCACGCCGAGGGACGCGTTTCACCGGGGCGAGCCGCGTCCCCCCCCTCCGGCCCTGCAGCGCCGGTGCCACAGACCCCCGCAGTCACGGCCGCAAGGTGGATGGTTACCGAGGGCCGTTCCACTGCAGCCACCCCGAACCTTCTGGAACCGACGGGGCGCATTAACCCATTCGGCACCGGGCATCGCCCCCCACCCCCAGTGCTTAGCTTAGCTTAGCTTAGCTTGGCTCGGCTCGGCTCGGCTCGGCCCGACTGCGCCGCGCCGCGCCGCGCACCGCCCCGCCCCGTCGGACCCACCAGCGCCCCCTCCGCCGCCGCTGCCGCCGCCGCCGCCGCGGCCCTGACTGCTGCGAGGCTCCGGCCGCTCCTTCCGGGTGTCCGCGGGGACACGCCCCTCTACCCGCCCTCCCTCCCTGATTGGTGGCTGGGGCGGGGCTCGGCGCGGGGCTAGGGGACCGGCGGTGTCCGGTGACCAATGAGAGAGTGCGGAGAGGCTGACGCTCAGCCCTGGAGCCCCGCCCTTTCCCCGCCCACTCCACGTGCGGGTCTGTGATGACAGCGGGGAAGGGGCGGGCTCACGCCGCGCGGCTTCTCATTGGCCGCCGACGGAAGGGGCGGGGCCTGACTCAGCTCCCGTGGGGGGCTGCCATCGCCGTGACCCTTCACCCCGGCCACTGCCCCGACGGCACGGTGTGCTCAGGGCCAGTCACCCAGTCACAGTGTGTCCCAACCCCGCAAACCTCCGGCCCGTCAGATCTCCTGGCTTCACAGACCCCCGGCCCCACAGACACAGTGTGTCCCAGCGCAGTGAACACTGCCCTTTTAATCCCACACACTCGGTCTGCAGCCCCACAGACACGATGAGTCCCAGTCCCACCATGGCAGCTGAATCAGCATGGCAGCTGAAAACACCCAGTACTCTTCCCACAAACTCCTGGCCTTACAGACCCCACCCCCACAGACACAGTGTGTCCTACTCCATGAATACAGCCCATCCTAGTCCTGCACGCTCAGCCTCCACCCTCACAGCCCACAGCCCCCAGACCCCCATGGACACTGCTTGTCATGCCCCACAGACACGGCCCTCACAGCCCCACCAACATAGTCACAACCCTCCCTATGGACAGACCCTCCTCAGGCCTAACTGCACAGCCACAATACTGTCCTGAACCCAGCAGACTCAGGGCCGTTTAGGGTGTTTTACACAATGAGCACCACCACAGCTGTGTGCTCGCAGGTACACACCTCCTTATTGCACACAGGTGCTGTTTTCAGGGAAGAATGGCCTGGCAGATTGGGTTTGGCCTTCCATCCTCAGCCCTGTGCTGAGGAAGGAGCTGAAAGAAGCTCAGTGTTAACAAATGGTTAATGAGGCATTATCAGCCTGAAAAATCCCACTGATGAGTTGGTTTGGCCCCTTGGCAGCTGAGAGTTGTGGGCTGCTTTGTCCTCTGCAGGAATAATGCATCTCTATGTGCTATGTGGGCAGTGGAGGATTAGTTGTATCCCACGCTATTTACCTCCCATTTAGGAATGCTTAGGGTTTGCGAGCGATGTCCCTGTCAAGCACAGTCTCTTGGCAACCTCCCCTGGTTTGTAGAACACAACTCCACGTCCAAAAGCAGGATTAAGGAGCAGCACATGAGAGCTCATGCTTGCAGGCTCGGTGGGGTGAGGGTGCCTTTGTGTTTAGATTGGACACATTCCGCTTTTTCATCCTCTCTATTTCCCTGCTCACAAACTGCATCGCTGTTTGTCAGTGGATGGACACGGGGCAGGTTTGGAGAGTGGAAGTTGGAAGAGGCACTCCATGCACGAGAAGCGTTTTCCACCCACGGCATGGCACCATCCCTGGCCACCTCCCTGCTTCCAGCAGGGTGTTTCCCCAGGAAGACGAGGTGTTCCAGGCTGTCCTTCTGCATGGAGCCCCACTGCCTTCAGGGCTTCGCTCTAAAGGCTGTGATGGCAAGGCGCTGGTGCGGTGAGTTCATGGCTGGGTGAGCGCCTGCCAAGCTGCCCTGATGGCTGCACCGCAGGGCTGGGCTGGGCTGGGCTGCTCCGGCTTGGCTGGTTTGCCAGGCAGCTGGGCTGACACTGACGGGACTCCTGTGGTTGTAGCTGTCGTCACGGAAAGGTGACCTCCTCACACACACACTTGTTTCATCAGCATAGGTGGGTAGAGCAGCCAAATTGAAAATGTCTGATGGGATACAGCAGCACTATCATAAAGGTGTTTTTGATGAGCTAGGGCGTTAGGGTCAGGCTGGGCTGGTCCAGAACCCCACAGGAACCCCAAATCTACAATACTGTGTCCCTTCCATCAACCAGCTTTCAACACCTTGCAGAGGAGGGCAGCACCATGTCCACTATAGGGCCGTGCTGGGAACACAGGCATGGGCAAGCAAACTGGCCTTCCAGGCTATGAGGCTGAAGGCAGGTCCTTACCCAGCACTTCAGCCACCATACCTCACTACCTGTCTGTAGCTAACACAAAAAAGTGGATTGTAGCCATGGGCAATGCTCAAGAAGTTCATCCTGGAGCTCTTCTCTGAGCGCATTTTGGCAGATGAGTGTGCACTGCAGCTTGGCATGCTCAGGGTGCACAGTAGGAAAGCCCAAGCAAGCCCAAGCAAATACTCAGAGGGGCATCTCCATCCCCGAGGGTTTTCAGTGCTTGGAAGCAACAGCAGATCTGATGTGCTGTGCATGTCCTGGATCACATCAGTACGGATGGCGAGATGTGGTGTCATCACTACGAGCCAGAGTGAAATTGGCAGTGCATAAAGTGGTGACACATGAATTCTGCATCGAAGATAAAGTTCAAGACACAGCCCTCTATGTGTAGTGACGAGCTCTGTCTTTTGAGATACAAAAGGAGAAATCCTTTTGAATTTCCTGAAGCCTGGGCAAACCATTGACTCTGACTACTATATTGTGACAATGACTAAGGTGAAGGCTCAAACTTCCAGCATCAGGTCAGAGAAGAAGCCTTTGTCTTACAACATTATAATGCCAGGCTCTGTACCAGTATGAAGATTGTGGAGCACACTGCCAATCTTGGCTGGTCTGTCCTAAACACCCACTGTGCAGTCCAGTGTCTTCTGTCTTCATGCTGTTCAGGCTGATGGAAAATGAACTGTGTGAGCAACATTTTCCTAGCACACCTCTCTCCTTTTTGGCCCAGAAAGCTCTTACTCCATCCTTGAATACCACTGAAGCTAAAGCTGCAGAGGAGCATCAGCTCAGGCCCAGCCTGGAGCTGGGGAATTGGGGCTGTGGGCTGAGGACAGGGACAGTGCAGGGATTACCAGGACAGGGGGCAGCTGCTGCAGGAATCCCCTGGAACAGGGTTGGATGCACAAATCTTTCCCTCTCTTCATGTCCCACACCCCAACTTCTCTCACAGTTTTATCCGTGCAGAAACATTTTCTTCCTACCTGCTTAAAAAGAAAAAAAAAAAAAAAAAAAGAGTTGATAAGCTCAATTTACCAACCCAGATAGCATCTGTTGCAAACAGCTGGCTGGTGTGAGCTGTGCTGGGGCTGTTGCATGCCAAGGCTGCCCGGAGCTGTGCCGTGATGTCTCGGCTGTGCTGTGCACACAAGCCAAGATAGCACATAGCAAACATCCCCTTAATGTCTCCCTGGAACAGGGAATGTAGGCTGCAGTCAGTGCATAATGCTTTGTGTCGCTCCTTCACGGCACTCTCTGACCCTGCTGCACTGTGGGTTCCTGCATGGGTGCATGTAGATATCTGCTACATATGGTGCTCATGGGTAGCAGGGAGACAGCCTGCTCCAACATGGACCTCTCACAGGCTGCAGCAAGCTTCTGCTCCGCACCCGGAACGCCTCCTGCTCTCCTTCTGCACTGACCCTGCTAATCTAACATGGAGCAGCTGCTGGGCTTTGCTCACAGAAGCCATCCCTGCAACCTCCAAA